CCTGTGGCGTAGCTCTACGGTATTTGAATTGTAGGCCATGTAGTAGGAACATGTGTACCTGTAAAAGGTTTGGATGAAAAAACTGACAAACTTGACAAAGGAAAGGGGTTTAAAAGAGGAGAAATACCTGGGCGTGTGCATTGTAAATTTCTGACCAAGAGCATGAGATCCATACAGTCTGATGTCAATAACAATTTAGTTTTGACAATTCGAAATTGAAAGCTGCTGTCTTAAAACAGAATGTTGACTACCCATAATTGATTTGTCTAATACCTTTAGCTGATAAGGAACATTCCTTATTGTTCTGTTAGTTACTTATTGTACTCTTTTTTCCATTTCGTACCAATTTTTAAGGCCAGACCAAGGTTATAGTTTTATTGTTGTGCTATTAAAAAAAAATCGACCCAAGTAAGGAATATGTTCGGGAAAGCTACTCCTTTCGTAAAACACACCTAGGAAAGTTCTTTGGAACAACTAAGCTGTGGCTTTTGTTTGGGCACCTACCTCTGACGAAGCTGATCATTAAAACAACCGCAACAAAAACAATAAAGGAGTCGAAATGCAAAGACGTAGAGTCCCGATTTGAGTCAGCTGAAAAACATATGCTAAAAAATGACTTATGTATAAGTTTTGAATAGCCCAGTTAAGTTGAAAACTGGTAGTAAATTCGAACATAATTTTTTAGCGGATCCATACTTCGTTTTAAGCTTTAAATTTGAAATTGTTTCATTTAATAAATATTAATGATAAATTAGAAAAAAAAGCATAATGTTGCACCATTAAACTATTTTAAAAAGCCTTTGCCCAATTCTATCTATTTTTCTCTACAGTTCTTTCCACAGAATACAACCGCGTTTTAATATTTAAGGGGCCAATAGAGGGTAAAATGCTGCCGGGTCACGTGATAAGGACAGAGAAGGTGGCAAATGAAGGGAGCTGCCGTGTGAGGTGTTTTTTGGAGCCCAACTGTGTGTCCATTAATGTGCGTCCTACTGGCGACCAAGGACAGCGCACCTGTGAGTTAAAAGTCCATCACAGAGTCGCTTGCAGGAAGCGACAGGCCATATTCACTATTCAGCTGAGGTATCAGATATTTTTGCTGATTATCATTTATGCTTGTCAGTCTTAAATGTTATTCGTGAAACGGGAATTCGTTTATGCTTGATACAACTAAGACTGATGGTAATCAACAGAAGAAAAACGTTTTTATTTAGCAACAATTTCACTTAATTAAACGTAATCTAGTAAAACAATGATTGATAGGAAAGAGAGCTTTTAAACTAAAAAACGAGGGACATTTGCAAACTTTCTGGGGAACTAATTACTATTCAATAACTAGTTAATAATTTTATATGGAGTATCTGCTAAAATAAATTTCTTTCCAACAGAACATTTGTCACAGTAACCCATGCCCTGGAGAGAACTTTATCTGTCAGGTGGGCTTCACAGCTAAACGCTACCGATGTGTTTGCCGTGATGGTTTTAAAGGAGAAAACTGCGACGAAGGTAGACTCGTTAGGTTGACTCTGTTTTGTTTTGTTTTGTTTTGTTTTGTTTTTTTTTTGTCAGTATGTGTTAGCGCATTGTTTGACTAACAATCCGGGAAGTTCGGTCTCTTTACTTAAACGTGGTCCATGTGCCAAGTTTTTGAATAGTTATTTTCGATTATTCGCCCTATATGTGAATTATTATATTACCCCAGCGTATAGGTAGGGTTTTTAAGGTGGTCCAATACTGACTGAAGATGGCCGAGTCCTCGGACATGGAGTTTTTCCATAAGGCGCGGGTGCCTCCCTGGACCCGGTTGCATAAAACCTGCACTTAAGTGCTCACTTAAGTAGGTCACTTACGAATCCGTTATGGGGACACTTACGGGTGTTGCATGGAACGCACTTAGCACTCTCGTAAGTTTCTGTTTTACGTGGTAACTTACGGGCTCCTCACTTAAGGACACAGGTAACTTTGATATAGTACTTTATTAGTGACCCAACCTATTATTTTTAAGCTAACCATCGATGGGTTTAAAGAAATTAGCTGGTCGTTTCGAACACTCTTGAGCCTCTGTTAGATGATTAGGGAAATTCAGCCGGTTGAGATAACGTTTTATATAGACAGAAAAAAGTGTGTCATCATTTAACCAAAAAAAAATTATTCGACCGAGAAGTTTCGACATGATAGAAAAAGAGTTTATTAATGTAATATCTGCACTGGTTCTAAACTACTTGTTAATGTTAAGTTTTCGTCTAAACAACTGTAACTTAAGATCAAGCCGCTGTTCCTTCTTTTTTAGAATTCTCATTTTGACATCATGCTCTTCTTTTAAATGTTCTTCATATATCTTCTTAATGTTCCTTTCTCTATGTCCTTGTTCCCTAACAGAGTCGGAATCAGGTACAGTTTAGTTATTTTGTTTGTTCTTCCCTTAAACGGCTTTCTTCTTACTCCTTCTCCGAAGTTCTCTAGCCACTTTCTCATTCAACCACCCTATCTGGGCCTACTGGAAGGTACGATGAAGTTGACGATAGGCTGTGTTTCTCAATAGCGCCACTTGAAGCATCAAGGGTGTGTTCTCTAGCTTGGATATTATCCCCAGAGTCTATTCCACCAACTATAGATACGTGGTATAGGGATTTTCTTTTCCGAGTATCTCGGTGATTAGCTCGTCACCATCAGTCCACTCTATTGCACCTGCACCCCAGTCTTCTTTCGTTTGGCGTATTTGGCTTTAGTGGCTGACGACAAGTCCTCCCATTTCTTTTTAAGTTGTTCCTTGGTTCTTGGTGGGAACCCGGCGGCTATACTAACTGTGTGAACCTCCAACCATGTTTGCATTTTCAATATAAATGTCAGTGTAGGAGATAAAGTACCGAATAGAGTCATCTTTCGCCTTTTTACCTCATGGAGAAAAAAAATTGTGATTTTATCCGTCTAAAAAATTCGGCGCTCTTTTTCTGGGGTTAGAGCCTTCTTCATCTTCAGAATTCCGTTTCATTGACATGCTAGAAATGTAGAAATGTTTTTCTAAACGATGATGAAGAAGAAGCTACGAGCGACAGCAGCAATGCTGATGAAGGATACCAAGACGACATTAATGAAACTGAAGAGGGTCGAAAAAAACGTTAGGAATTTGCTCGTTCGTTTTTGTTTGTGTTTTTTGTTTGTGTTTTTTTTTTCACAATCCTTATAATCTATTGAAGCTGATGACAGTTTTTAAATAATTTCAAATCATTCAGCAAAGAAGATTGACATTTTAATATCCTATGAGTGAAACTCATCAAGTCCGTTGACTTTCCTTGAAATACGTTTGCATGCCATCGTTATTTTACAAGAATATTTACTGATAATGTTTGTTGCATGTTCTACTTTTTTTTCTGAAAGACGGCTTTCAATAAAGTGAACATCAGAGGTTAACAAAGCGCATTAGAACGGAATTACCTAAATAAAAAAACTTTTTTTTCACTTCTCAGTAAACGATCTCATTAACTTTAGTAGAAACAGTAAGGATACGGGACCTACATAGGTCCCGTAAATTTTCGTGCTATTTTTCCCGTAAAAAAAGTTTTATGCAACACCCGCAATTTCCGTTGCATAAATGACACTTAAGTCTATACTTACGAAAATCGTAAGTGCAGCCACTTAAGTGAAATCCCTAAGTGGACCACGTAAGTAATTTAATGCAACTCACTTAAGTTACGAGTACACGTACGTATACCCGTAACTGTTACGGGCGTTTTATGCAACCGGGCCCTGAATTCCACCCTAAACTGACGTGACAACTGTCAGCTGGTCGAACAGTGTGCTCTGCGGATCCCTTTTTAGCAACTTGTTGACTTCAAATCCTTGAAGCCAGCTAGGAACGCGCGCGATTGAAAAGGATTGACATTTCATGCGCCTGCCTGCCTTACACATGTAAATGCTACCGTTTGGGCTTTAGGACAACCGATCTTATTTAAAATAGTCTTAAATTGTTAAAGTTCTATCTCAGTTTTTGCATTTTTTTTTCTCTTAATTTGTCCTCGCAGAGATCAATGAATGCAGACCTGATACAGGATGTGGAGGTGAGTTAGTTATAATTGCATGAATTTTATTAGAGGCTTATTTTGCGTCATTTTTCTCTAATTCCCCTCTCTTTTTTTAAAAAAATTCTTAATTTTGTCACTGTGGATTAAAAGTCTGTCTATTGTTTCTTTATCTTTGTAATTAGCAATGGTAACATGACTGAGGGGAGTCCAATTCGGTCTGTAAGCAAACGAGTGATTAACAAAATCGGACGACCGCGTAGCGGGAGTCTGATTTGTTTAATCACGAGGATGGTTACGGACCGAATCGCACTGTACGAAGTTCTGTTACCAATTGATCATAACTTTAACAAAATTTGTGATATATAATGTTCTTTTTTTTTTTTTAAATCAAAACACAAGAAATTTCAAGATTTTTTTTTCTAGCAGAGAAAGAAAAAGCCACTTAAGCGCGCGCGTGATGACGCGTACCGTCCAATTACTTAGGCATGACGCGTACTTCCTATTAAGGTTGAAATCAGGGCAGTTGATGGTCAATCAGATTTGAGAATTTTGTGATCGTTATGATTATAGACTTAATCTTTGTAACGGATTGGATGACCTTTGACACCCTTTTTGTTTCTTGTTGATATTCAGCGACCGTTCGACATATTTAACATTTATTCCTCGAGCTTAAAGGGGCTTAGCCTTCCAATCACGCGTTTTTAGGGGAGCTCGTTTTTCATCCCTCCCCACAAACGCCTGCTCAATCGAAAACAACATTCCTTCCCCGTTGTTTTATTTGCGTGGTAAGTGACCAATCAACAGTTGTGCAATAAAAAAGTGTTGACGGGCCAAACGCGACTTTAGCGTGACCCTAGAGTTACCGTTTTCCCTTTTTCTTTCCTTCGCTAAGGCTATGCAATGCATGGAGTATTCTAAAATTTTGACTAAATCTTACTTTTGCCACACTGAATCTAACATTTATTAGAGGTCCACAAAGCTTTGCCAGTGTTAGATGCAGATCGAGTAATTATCAGATTACCTTACGGTCAAGG